TGCATCAATTAAAACGAACCTTTTCTTTTGAGTCTCAAAGTAGGCACGTCCACATTCAACTGTTTTCCCTTTGTCTCGTTCTTCTGGATTTGTATCCAACGCCCAGGATAAATACCAAGACTCCCGATTTTTTTCCTTAGCTTCACGTTCATATTTTTCCAAAGTCCTCTTATCGACCATATCTACAAACATCAGACCATCAAAAATTAAGGGTACCTGTTAGAAACAGTAAGTGGCCGCCAATTGTAGATTTTCCTGCATCCACATGACCAATGAACACTAAATTAAGTGTATCTTTATCTGGGACAATAGTTAACGTCTAAAAATCTAATTCAAATTCATGGACATGCATACCTTCTTAGGAACCTCTTCATCTTTATCTAAACTGACGTCTGAAGGCCATGTTATATTATAAAAATGTGTACCCACCTTCTTCTTGTACTTCACTAGACGGTAAAGATTGACTTGGAGTTTCAACCTCAGGAGGGATGCTAGGAACTACTTCAGGGATTGGGGGTGGTTTGAAAATAAATGGTTGGCCGGGTATAAACTCAGGAGCATCTACATTCAACTGGGAAAATTTGGTAGTGACAGAACCATTTGTATCTAACTGATCTTCCCACGAAGCCATTGGGTTGGAATGCAGCGCGTGAACGTTACAAGGACAAATAGTGACATAAATAAGTAGGCGAATTCATGAAATTAGGATCGGAACATATTCATTAGGTATATCAGGAGTATAATATACTAAATGTTATTGGTCCTCACGATTAAAATATTTGAAAAATATTTTGTTCTTTGATTTTTTTAAAGAGTACGCTGGTTAATATATTCAGACCAAAAATTTTCATGCACTGCAAACCTGTTGCAGAAATTATTTAAACTGTTTCGAAAATGGTGAGTGTTTTTTTGAGATGATTTTTACTGCCAACACGGTGGATAATATATCAGTGTTTGTATTCAAGCGAGGCTAAATAATAATACATCTTTTGATTTGCAATTTAGAAAATATGTCTAAAGGTTTTACTGTAAGCAGTTCTCCCTCTAGGCTATCACACCACTTATTTGCTGGTACTCTAGTGTTGTAGTGCGACTTATGCATCATGTAATCAAAGTTAATAAAAGCATGAAACAAACGTGTGACTGAAGGTCTTTTGCATAGCCAACAACAGTTATGAGTTATGAAGAATGAAGCGTAACATTTCACATACAGTACCCTGCTTGTATTCTTTGCCAGATAGCCATTTCTTTAGTGACAGAATAGTTTGATTGAATTTGTAAAAGATCATCTCTCTGGCTGTAAATAATTCCTTAAAATTATACGCCTGCAGCCTTCATAATCATTCAACATGAGATGCCGACTTTAACTACATGGGCCCATTTGTTAGGCTGGAGTTACGCTGTCAAGCATCCCCATCGCACAACACAATGTTGCTTTTCTGTGCCAGTGACTGATCCCCAGTAAGTTGACCACATGCAGCTTAATAGAATCTACCCAGCCTGACGTTTTGTTTTGGCTTGCTAGATATTGTCTGGTCACATCGAATAATTATTTTACAGATCGAAAGATTATACTCTCACACTTTCCTATCGTATCTTGTATACCCGTAAATATTTATCAACTAAATTTCCTTAAAACTTATGGAGAATTTTGAGCTGGATTATTTACCTCAACCAGATAATTAGTTATAGGATCCAAATAAGGGATCGGTCAATTCGTTAGTAAAATGTCACTTCAATAATAATGCCCAAACGTAACGTGGGCAGACTACATTTTTTATTTGATACAATAGGTAACTACGTGTCAAAAATGTTCGTAAAGGAATTTCATCGAAATCCAAAACATGTGATTTTAATCATATTCACAGATCAGTAAGAGAAGTAGCCTTCATTCATTCTGAGTAATACGGAAGATTCTGTAAAACCTGATGTTAGATCTACTTCAAGAAAAATCGGAAACGAAATAATCATTCGGGGGTATATTATTAGGCTATCGGATGTGCAGATAAACGGCAATAAATATACTACTGATGCCCACAAACTAGTGGAATTTAATATAGGCCAGAAACGGTTAGTGAGACAACGAAAGTAAAAGAGTTCTACCACAAAGAGTTATGTGTTTCGATGCGTACGTCGACGGAAGGACGCGCATGCATGTATGGCTGCAGGTAACTCCCAAGTAACCATACTTCTTGAGGGACAACTACAGACTTAAGGCTAACCTAAATGTTGGCCTCGAAAGGAAGGAATATTATTGACGGTTGTATTCGTGGTGAATATAATTGGGAAACAAGCAACTGAAATTTAGAACAGCCCACCATAGCTAATAATATGGTCTCAACAAAAGTCCCCACATCGTCTATGGTGAAAGTATGATACATTACAAGCAAACATATCAGTGGCCATGATAGCAGCGACAAGAATAATTCTCTTAACGTATCGAGGATAGACAACGAAATACAATGCTACAGTGTCAAGCAGCTAAGGAGTTTGGCTGTATCGCAATCTCAAACGTTCTTCCAAAGCAGTATAATCACAAGGCCTTGTTATCGAGTGATTATTTTTTGATTTTATGGCATGATTACATTTTAATAACATCCATGAATAAATCAACATATCTGGATGATTTCCACTGGCATTTTGGTATTGAATGGAAATAAATATTCCAATTTAAAGTCTCATCCAGTGAATTATATACGTGTTCGCATTATTCATTCGTGAAACGGGCAATGATCAGAATCACCCAAACAAAGGTGTTCTGCCATTGAGTAGGTATAGGCTCCCTCGTGGAAATCCTAGAAGGATAACTCATCAGAGGGCAAGGAACCTGGCGCGCTCCCACTTCTTCTCCCTGCGGATTTGCCGTCTCTGGAATTCCTTAACGGCAGATGTAGCTGTAGCACCGTCTGTGGACGCCATGCAGCGACACAAGGGCTGCATCCAAATGGTCTTTCCCCTTAAAATCTCATACACCGTTCAAGGGCAGGCAATTAAACTTGTCGTTTTACTTCTTTACATTCTCTTGCGTCTTACTTTCCTGACAGCTTTAACTACACCTATTATTATTATCATTATTTCCGGTAAATATATATGTATACTGGTTGACTGACTGTTGTTACGTTTTCTTATTTTTTTCTGTCTGTTAGTCTGAATAACTTCACTAATTATATCTGTTATTATCTCTTTTCTATTGAAGACAATACCGAAGGACCAATTGGTGAAAGGATCAACTCCATTCACAGTAGTAACAGTCTTAACACACCTCATACTACAAACCACATATGATTAATCCCTGCACTACTCCTTTAGGAGTCAACCAAAGCTGCGACAGTCGAATGGCGGGACGAGCTACACAGACGTTTACCGAAGATCAGGAACCTCTACCTCACAATCATGAGGCGAGCACAAAGAAATCAAATTTGTTTATACTAGCTCGTAAAAACGATGTTGGATATTGGACAGTAATTGCTTAGTCTCAGTGCTCTGATACAATTATGATTCATCAGCAATATCCCGGATGTCTTGAAGCGATACTTATTTTGAAACAGATCGAGTACTTACTTGCAGTGAACTAAGAGGAATGGTTTAGACTTCAATATATCTTTCCTTCTTTCTTGAACTAGAGCCTTCAAATCCATTGAAACATTGAAATTCATGATCGCACTTTTTAAATTGAAGGCCAATCGTGATCTAAAGTCATAAGTTGGTGTGAAGGTATGTTGGTTTAGCAAATTAGTCCATATATAGTATTGGCTTACTTAAAGGCTTCATCTTATCGTTCTTCTAGGTCTTATCTTGAAGCTTAAATGTATCATATTATGCCAAACTTTAGATGAAGGCAGATGTCTGAATAATTACTAAGAGGGCGAAGTTAAAGTATCATAGCCAAAGTCAATCTGTTTCGAAAGTTGACCTTCAAGAACCGATCGCACACGGAGTGCTGTGAAGTTTGGTTTCAAATCAAATCATATCGACTTTTTTGTACTTGGAGAGGATAGATTCATTATCCTACTAATTTACTAGTTACTTTCTGCAAATCTGTACTGTTAGGTAGGGTAATGGCGTTTAAGGTTTAGGGCCAAAGTTATGATTAGGAGTTAGGAATATGGTGGGAGTTAGGAGTAGGTTGTAGAATAGTGTCAGAAATGTCAATGGGCCTCAAAGTACCGTGACCTACAGTCATCTAGATGAGTAAGTACATTGCGCATGGTACGATTTCTCTATAGGTCGTCTGTGTATTAACTGAGACATTCTTGCGACACAAGCTACAGCTCTACAGTGTGAAACCATGTTTGCAATATTTCTTAGTGTATTTTTCAACGATTTTGCGACGTTGTGCCTGAATTGGGATTGGTTGTTCAGGGTCACCGTGGTTTTGGCTATGATAGTTTAAATTTGCCACTAAGGGTACCTATTAGATCAAATTTCGCATTTTTCTTGAGTGCAGAGGATACAATTTATTCATGTTTCGCGCAATGACACCCTAATTATTCTCACTTTCCGGGTGTTCAAGACTCCCTTATATTAACGACATGGGCTCCACCTATCTACTGGTGGGATACAAATTGTTGCACATAGTAGTTAGTTTGTAACTCATTACCAGAATTAACGGAATAAAATCGCCAATCTTTTCAGTTAGAAATATACACTGCAAGTAATAACGGGCTCCCAGAAACCTGTCCTTCTACTTCCCTGAAAACTGCATATTCCGATGTACTATCGTTGTCTACCGATGCCAGTACACTGAGTAAACAACTTAATAATGAAGTAAAAATAGAAATTACATCATGCACGCTCAGCAGACCCTCGGTAGCTGCCAATTAGTGATGAACTATAAGCCTCTTACGGTCAGAAGTTATTATAACTTGTGGTATTTACCTTCGTGTCAATCAAGTAATTATTGTGGAATTATTGTTCAAGAGTAGAGAAAGTTATCCACTAACATGACAGTGTAGTTAGATGGCTAGAACTCAGTTACACGAAAGAGGTTCTTCATGCAATAGTATGCAGGCCATACTTATTATCTTAGGGATCATAGTTAAACTTATTTACTCTGGCTAAACTGAAGGAGAGACACTCCTCATTTCCCGTTACTTTTCAATGTTTCCTTTTCATTACAATTTACGCACTACTTTCTGTATTTCTCTTCTACAGCTGAATATCCCACGCAACTTAGCCGCATGTAGTTAATTAAATCAGTCTCTGGTTAAGACTTTCGTTAACGTACTGGGTTTTGAATAGATGGATGTGGACAGACAGTAGGTGTAAATATCTAATAAGACGGTAACATCCACTTATATTCATAGCTTTTAGAAAAACCTAAGTGAGCAACTGCACCAATCGTTCCTATAATGAGGAGAGATTTCGGCACAGACTGCTAACTCAAGTGTATTATCATTTCATGAGCGCGGTTATAATAAGACAATGTATAATCAAATTATAACGGGATAGATATTGTCAGGCCGAGTTTTCTGGGTAACTATTTGGAAATTTAAAACATATTAGAGAGAAGGCCTGCTTGTCAGAAATTGTGCGTCTTTAAATTTCTCAGTGGTAAACACCTTAGTGATCGGGAAAATTTGGCACCTCATTGAATTGACAGTTAAACCGTCGTGAAAATACGCAACTATCCTATCACAACCTCGTTGTTATGGCTTCTAACATGATCCCCGGAAAACTTTCTCAGACCACTAGGATTATTACTACATTATTGTCATTACTATTATTTAAAGACATTTAACGTGATATCTGCACCATGAGCTATGCCAGTTAATAGTAATAAGCAGTGGGGTGGGGGACCGGTGAGTATACTTATTACGTAAATCGAAGGCATAGTACATTACTTCCTTGTAGTCTCAGTAATCGAATAAATAAAAAACTAACATCAATTTAGGTCCTAACCCGTTTCAGACTCTGTTTCAAGTCTTTGAGTCGTATGGTTTATCATACATTACTTGGGGAGTTGTAACCCAACAGCAGATACTAACTGAAAACAGTTGTATTTTCATGACGCTACATCATGAGTTGATCATCTTATTTCTGAACCATTGTGCAGTGTGGAAGCTGCTGAGATGAAATTCGTAATTCACATGTACACTTTGAAAGGCGCTAGTCCAAGATGACATAATTGATTGAAAGATGGTCCCCACAATGTTCAAAACGTGTCATCAGATGACAGTATTGCTTACACTATGTCATTTACTCCTACGAAGACGACATTGATCAAACACACAAGATTGCCACTGTTGTAATCTTGCGATTTACTCACATGCATTAGATAAAAAGTATTTTTCTTCACTATTTTCAAAGAACCCAGTTGTTCAGATATACTATCGATCAGCTTCCCTGCCTCAGAGGTAAACCTAAGTCTGGTGGTTGAGATGCATGAGTCTTAAAATTAGAACAGTTTTCTGTAAGTTGAAAAATCCTTTGCTTGCCTGGAGGTGACTGTAGTTCAGAGGTAGTGTGTAATTAAGAGGGGCCTACGGAGATGGCAGATTTACTCTGTGACTTTTGCTCTAGAAAGTGATTATTTAGAGATTATTTTTCGTAGCCATAGTCGTTATTCACGTAGATTTGCAAAAACCGCATGTGAATAATGCTTCTTTTTTGTGTACCTAGACGTCAACGATTTTTATCAATTTGATGAGAGTAATTACCCATCACTACTTTTTGTTTATTTTCCAGTTTTTGACTCAAAGTTATGTTAAAATTTATTTTTCAGGCCGGATATCTGACCATTTTGTTGGAAGTATCTAACTTGTTTCCTTAGGTCCATGTTTATTATCTCCTTCTTGATAATATTATTTTTTGATCGCATATATTGTGAAGTTGTTTGGGCAGTCAATTGCGGTGGTCCAAAACACATAGATTCCTATGGCGTTGAGTACAAGGCTGATTTTTTAAACAAGGGTACTGCATCAGACTATGGCCGTTCCTTCACGATAAATCGCGTTGCTTCAGAAGACCATATACTTTATCAAACTGAACGTTATCACAACGAAGATTTTTCCTATCCTATCCCAGTTACTTCCGAGGGAGACTATGTTCTAACATTGAAATTCTCAGAAGTTTGGTTCACGGAACGTCACCAAAAAGTAATTCCCCAAACATATCTTTTAAATTCATTTCTATTTTTTCCACTGATATGTTTATCATATCTGTTTATATATCTTTGAATTGGTTTTGAAGTTTTGTTTTCCATTGTTCAGATGGTTAGTAGAAAAGATAACTAGAGTTTGCTACTTAGACGATGAAGTGAAACTTATGTTGTTACTAATAATGTTTAAGCATCCAGTGTATTAATAAATATTTGGGCTTTAGTTGTACTTACATTCCAAATTTAAGAGGTTAGCCGTAGGTAATAGGTGTTCACACACCAGCGTATAGAAAAGTCAGGATAGTTTAATTGTCAATATTAGTTAGTACAATGGAAATAAAAATTAATTGGTAAAGGTGTTGAGCTAGTTAATTGTCAAAATTAACACTAATTTCTGTTCTTCGTTAATGTGAACATCGTTCTATAGTTGTCGCATTATGTCTTACTAATAAACATCTATTGTTTGGTTGTCAATGCAAAACTTATAGAACATACAGTAATATCACCTTGATATGGTTATGAGCAATAAAGTGTGCTTAAAACGTCATCAGTAAACACCACTGTATAACACCGCGAGACTTTATCAAAACAAATTTTACCCATGATGGAACTATACTCTACCACAGTGCACACGTTTTATTCTTATATTAATAATTGTGTAGAGTGGACAAAAATCCAATGGAAAGACGATAGTGTTTTTATAAAATCTGTATGTGAATGCAGTGTTATTAATAAACAGTAATAGAGTGATAATAAAATAAGGATAATGAGAATAATAATGATAATACAATAATGCTAATAGTAATAATAATAGTAAACTGACATAATATAATGAAGCAAAATTATAGTGAGATGATTTATTACCATGACTTGTGCTGCTTGTAGAGTTGGAGCAAATGGAATAAGCAACAGAAAGTAAAAAACAACTTATCTTAAATACATAATCCTGATATTATTAGCAAACAGCAAACTGAATGCACAATAAAATATTTTGTTTTTGTTGATAGTACTTTGTCCTAGTAAATATTACATCTGTTTACAGCAGTTTTGTTTTGTACACTATGACTAAATGGAGCTGAATAGTTAGAATAGACTTATAAGGACTGTTGGTATCAGGAAAGGTTGCTAAGTTGTTGATGTACAATAGAATAACTACGTACAAATTCTAGTTTCCTTGAAGTCCATGAACAGCTTGGTTCCTACAAATTAGCCCATAAATTACAACTGTTAGTTTCCAGTTTACCTGATTTCTTTTTGCCTTCATGCAGATGAAATTCTTTCTTTTTGGTTAACTACTAGAAGAAAAATCCACTGTAAATTAGTGGTGCATCCAATCGTTATGTTATTTTATTAACTAAATGCAGATGATGCATTTCTAATGGATTTCTCCAAGTTCGAATTCATGATCTACACTACAAGGGGTTCTCTCTCCAAAAATATGCATGTTTTGATCATTCAATTACGTGAAATACGCCTTTCAATCTACAGGCTATGAGCAGCAATTATTGTATGTCGGTTAGTGTTACTATTCAGCTGCCTAGACTGAAGTAAATGGATCTCAATTCGAACCTGGAACCTACTGTCTAAAAGTTGGTTGCTTCGACATATGAACCAAATCTCCGTATACACATGTACACATATAATTTAATCTCAGCATAGTTGTAAGCAGCAAAAAGGACTTGATGCCTGTTTAGTAAATGAGAACACTGAATTGTATGAATTACTCTGGTATGCAGTTGAGCTGATACATTTAAAACACATACAGGTTTCTCTTTTCAAAGAAGAAAATCTACACTTATCTACATATATATGCTCATATATACCACTAGTTTGAAAAAAAAACAGTAGAATTGCCAACATGTACATTTTCCAGGATTTATTCTCAAAATTTTCACTAATATGCAGTTAATTTACATCTCTTCTAACTTTAAATGTTTATTGGTCTTAATTTGGTAGGTAGATGCTTTTAGTGTGATGAGTGTAATAATTTAATTTGAGACGACAGTATCTTTGCCTGTCAAATGTCAAAGTGACTGCTCTAAACTTAATGGCTTTCTGTCAAAAATCAGCCAGTGGTCCAAGGAAAATGGTCTTACCTTAAACCCCTCCAAATGCCAAACAGTCAATTTCACCTTGAGGCATAAATCCGACCTAAACAAACTGGTTGGCTCTCACGAGGTGTGCAACATAGATGGCACTGAAATAGAAACCAAGTCGGAAATTAAATACCTAGGCGTCATTCTATCTGCTGATCTCTCCTGGTCGTCTCATATCTTGGCCATTTCTAAGAAAATGTTCCGTCTTACCTTCTACATCAAGAAGTTAAAACATTCTGGTATAACCCAACCCTTACTCCTACAATTCGTTAACTCTCGCATTCTGCCTATTATTCTCTATTGTTCCCCCTTAGTTTTTCCCGGGCTACTGAAGAAAGACTATAATATATTACGCAGGATGTTAAAGGTTGTCAGCAGGGTAAGTAACGTGCCACTTAACCAGCTTGTTAATATTCTGGTCAACAGGCACATGGACTTATGTGAAAAATGGGCCAAATCCATTTTATCTAACTCACACCACCCTCCTCACTCACAACTCTTCCCTTGCATCTCATCAGGCAAAACCAGAAGCCTATATAGAAAACTATATACTCGCACCAGCAAGTACAAAAACTCAACCATACCCTACTTAGCTCGTGTTCTGTGCGATAAAGAAAGCATTAGGCGTGACACCTATAATTCATTAAATAGTCAGTGAGTCGGTGGCACAGTGGTTAGGACTCTCGCCGACCATGCACATGGTCCGGGGTTCGATCACCTGCCGGCGCACACCCGATATCTATGGTCGGCCTGAATTTTGGCTACCGATATCCATGCTGAAAATTCCACACTTGTACTGAAAATACGGTGTGGAATCAAGCTGTAAATCAAAAAAAAAAAAAAAAATAAAAATAAATCTCGTCTTTCCAACTCATATCATTTATAGGTACAACATTTTCTTTCTTTCTTTTCCTTTTCCCTCTTTTTTCTTCCGTTATGTGCTGCTTTGTTTGTTTCTGTCTTCCGCTTACGCCAGTAAATATGACAGCACCTACTTTTCTAACACCTTCAAACACTGTTCAGCTTTGGCTTTGCTACCGATATGCCAATATTTTGTTGTCATAATGAACTGAGATTTCCTTAATCTATGTAGAATTCTATTTATTGATAATGTACTAACTGGATGCAATACTATAGTAAAAATGTTGAAAATTCCATTCTGTATCACAAGTACTGTTTTGGAATAAAGCAAATTATTATTATTATTATTATTATTATTATTATTAATAGTAGCAATGTTAGAACAAGGAATTTTCACAATTAAAGTCTTTGGTTCAATTTTAATCACACAATTTATGAAATCAATAATAATTTTATTTTTTTATTACTATATATATATCACAATTCCGTAGTATTCATTTCACCCATTATTTAAATCACGTCTAATTAACTGTAAAACGTTTCTTTTGCAAGGCTGAAGTTTCGTAATCAGAATAGAAAATGAATTGTAGTGACCCTGAATCATCATTATGATGGTGAATGGATTTATTGATTTTATTTTAAGAATGTATAATATTCATGAGTCGTACTCACAATTTCATTCATTCAGATATCATTTTTCACTCTTGTGTCGATAACTGATTGATTGATGAATTAATTGACTAAGAACTACTCTGTGTAATGGTTTTTATATAACAGAACAAAGTGAAATATTGTACAGAAGTGCATCAATTCACGTTACTGTCGTTATCATTATTATTATTACTCCCGTGGATTATGAGGCGTCATCAGTATATCTCCATTTCACTCTTTTCTCTGCAATCTCTCTTCTTTTACCTAACTCCATAATTACTCACAAGCTTTGACTTCCTCCTTTTCTATGTTTTTCATTGCTTTTATCTGTGTTGGTCTCTTTCCGAATAGCGACCTGGTTATCTTATGTAGTGTTCTGAAGTCTCTCTTACCTGTTGGGTGTTTTCTGCTTCACTTGCTACTATGCGGCAAGATTGTCTTTCGTCTTTACTAGCACTCTTCTTCACTTTTTTTCTATGCACTGTAGACTGAACTCAGCTTCTGCTTTCGTTCCCCATCTTTACACTGGTTCATCTGTTTCATGTTGCTGCACTTGAAATTCATATACATAGAATATAGAAGCAAAGATATACAGTGGTATTGCTCCAACGAGAATAATTAGCTGAAGATTCTTGAAGATGATAAGGAATAAATCCATCAGTGATGTTGTAAATGATTTTGAGCCGTGTCTCGAAAAGCCACCAACGATTTGGTTTCTTAGCATTCGTAGGAATTCATTAGTAGTAGCAATAGTGATTTTTTGTACTTCCGCAATCTGATAATGTGTTCGGAATATTTTGTGGATGTATTAATTATAGTTACTTTGCTTTAAGTCACTTAGCTTTAATTCTTATAGAATGTCCATCGATTGAGTTGGTTAGCGCAATACCCCTTGTTCGAGGAGCAGTTTAAGCTGAAGTGGGACTTAGCTAGGAGAGTTAGAGGTGATCCGATCAAACTATGACACACATTGATTTGATGATTTTTATCTGGAAATGTGAACTGCCTAGCTGGTGGTGTCATTGCGATGCTAAGAATACATGGTTGGAAGCATAGCTCATAATCTGTTCTCACTAGTAGATATGTATTCATTCCTTGTCATTTTCAAAATTCCAAAAATCTACATCTCTTCTGCTGTACACTTTTGTCTGTTACAGTTTTATTACGTTTCTCTTCTCTACTTTTATTTGTGTTTTTCTAAAGTGTGACAACTTGAACTAATGCGCAATTTTGTATGAAGTTCTTTAAGAATATGGTTGCAATCACGCGTCTTTTTACTAACTAACCGCCATGCGTGCTTGTGTGCATGGTAGCCATATTATGCGTCGGTGGCACAGCGGTTAGGACTCTCCCCGACCATGCAAATGGTCCGGGGTTCGATCCCCTACTGACGCACACTTGATATCAATTGGTCGGCCTACAAAATTTGGGCTACCGATATCACATGCTGAAAATTCCATACTTGTACCGAAAATACGGTGTGGAATCAAGTCATAATTTTAAAAAATGTAACCTTTAGAGTTAATAAACTCTTAGCAGTCTAACTTCTTTCTGCTCATATGGTTAATTCTTTTTTTAATGGCTTATAATTCGAGTATTCTTTTGTGAACATAAACAGTATGTATAGATATAATCACTTATTTTGTCATCAAAATTCACATATATTTACTTCCAAGGTAATTCCCAGTTGATTTAAATATGTCACTTAGATATTGAATTCTGACGTACAAATTGTGTGATGTGATTAGTTTAAACAAATTTTCACATGATTCAATATCATTTGTTGTAATATAGAAAAAAAAAGAAAAAACAAAGCCAAAATGTATAGGTTCATGATATTTCAGTATTCTATAATGATATAATTTTCTCTAGTGTGAATAATTGTTAATAAGTGTATGACAAACTGAGATTTCGAGTTTCATTGAAAGAAAAAGAAGAGAGAGATAGGACATGTGTTGTGCTTTAGTTTACAAATATTTTATCATGGCATGTAAACAACAACATTATTGTTATTATTATTATTATTATTATTACTGTTGTTTCGTTTGTAATTACTTCAGGTATTCGATATTCTTGTTCAAAATGCATTACCAATTGTTCAAAATTTGGATATCTTCGGTCAAGTTGGCTTTGCTACAGCGCACGATGAGCATATACCATTCAAAATAAAAGGCGGCATGATTCATATTGACGGGAATTCAGCACCGATTGATGGAGATCATTTCACTGTGGATTTTATTAAGGTATGCTGAAATAAATCACAGAAAGGATAACAATTAATTTTTTTCTTCTCTATAGACTGAATATGATAATCCAAAAATTAATGCAATTGTCGTTACAAAAGGCAAAATTGATGGTGAGTTTTAAGGGGATTGTTTAATTCAGCGATTTAATTTCATAGTGTTTATAAACTACAGATAGCTGATAAGGGGTAGTGTTGTATGCATGCGCGCGTCTGTGGTTCATTGGTAGAATTCTCACCAACCCGCTTACAAGTTGTCTGGTTTTTCATTCCCGACAGACGCACTCCTATAAACGCACTCGCCCAGTTTACTTTTTTTTTTCCTTCACGTTCCCAGTGGAACATAGGGCTTCAAGCTAGAGGCTTGAAGTTTCTGTAGCAGTGTTTAATTTTACAGGTTGGGGTTGCTAGCCTCATGCCCAACCTTTCCTCTTCACCAACATTATTTCTGGCTTAGCGAGGTAAAGGAGTGCGTCCAGTGGCCGGGGATCGAGCTATGTGCATGGTCGACGAGTGTCCTAACCGCTGTGCCACCGACGCCTAGTTTACTAGCCAATAGTAAATTTGCAAATGACGGAAGGTTGAACGTGAGGCTGTCAAAGCACCTCATAAAGACAACATCACCAACGCTACTGAAACTCAAAGGCTGGATGTCCTATGTTCCACTCTAAATGCAAAAAAATGAAAATTAACCAGAAGATAAGATTTGTGGGTATTTAACATAATCCATCCAAAGAATTAGAAACCAATAAGCAGCTCTGGGATAAATAAAAAAAAGTAATTTAAGCATAAAAATGTACACAGTAGGATTTTTTTCTACGTAATTTCTTAAAATACTGAACCTAATAGGGAGGGCATGCAAAATACAAACAAACGGAGTTAACATACATTGAACACTAAAAATTTCTCAGTAGCATTTATCAGATGTGTACCTATATTGTAATAACTTGCCACCCGCCCCATTTGCGTAATTCTCAACGTCTAACTATCAGAGGCATAAGGTAAATTCACAGGTATTTGTGATTGCACACTAGTCAGTAACTAATGTAATGTGTCTAGTCCTATCTTCGCTGCAGACTGAATTCTATCAGTCAAGCTTGAAAGTTGCTACCTTGACGTGGTGGTCGGGCTTGAACACCGCAATGACCCAACAAGCTATACTGACTAGAACTTATGTTCTTGTAGGTCCTACCATGCCAGAAAGGTTGTTTGGATAGCAGTTAGATTAAAAGCAGTTACCCAATCCAATCCTGTGACTCCAAATAAATCACAAAATATCATGCCGGATCGGTCGGGGCCCGGATTAACAACGACCGCGCTTCCTGCTGCCGTGTCACAGGGCAGAAGTGATAAATACGCTACTGAGACACACCAAATGAAAAACAACAAACAAAAACAGGCCGTGTGTGACCGGCCTCAAGCAGTTGTCCCCTGGGCTCTGCGGTCACGCAACCAACTTCCACGGTGTGGGCAGCCGGGAAGTAACAATCGCCCTCACAATCCGAAGTGCACGCGAAACCTCTCTAATCCTCATTCATCTTTGTCTTCATCTTCATCTCTATTATCTTGCCTTCCTTCTACTAATGCAACTCCTCTACCTAATGGCTCTTCACTTCCTCTTCACTCTGTGTGCACTGAATACGACGGGAGCCAGAAAAACCACCACCGATAGCCTCCTAAGTCAAGCTTGCAATGTGGCCACCATGCTAGGTGGCTGGCCATTACGGTGCACTGTGAATTGTTGGTATTAGATGGTTGGAAGATAGGACTAGATACATAACACTAGTTACTGACTAGTGTGCAATCAAAAATATCCAATACAGTCCTACAGGAGGTCAATCGCAAGCCTGAATAGCTCAGTGGTAACGTCTCTAACTGCAGCACTAGGTGACGCGGGTTAGAATCTCAGAAGGGACATGAGTTCCTTCAAGGTTGCAGATACACCTTGCTAATGAGTGGCAACTAGCACGAAACCTAGGTCCAAGGCTTGCTTGCGATTGCCTCCAACCATCTAATATCACTGGTATTTGATAATGTATGTGTACTTTAGACCACTGTATCGTGTATCATTGAATCTGTTAATGAATAACGTCTCCACTAGGATTGTAGTCAAATGAGATAGGTCGCCTAACTCTTTAGTCAAAGTTTACCTGAAGTATTTGAGAAAGTAATTTTTTTAGTCGTCGTCAATCCACAATACAAATGAGTACAAAGTAGGATGAAGTATCCGTTCACAATGCTCTGTAGCTCTCAATTATCCTCCTACTGATGGTGTTTTCTTTTTGTTTTGTAATTTTGATCAGAACTAATTTTGAAATCATTTAATTTAATCAAGTATTTAGATGTATTTCAAAACTTAATCCCGACAACTTTGTTTATTAAAACAGTATTTAAGCGTGGTTAAAGTCACCTTCGGACCAACGCCCAACTCGTCGTTTTCCATTCGGGATCCACACGATGGCATTTTCAGCGTGTGATGTCACTCAGAGGTCTCATCAGTGTATGCTCATTCCATCTTCCTTTTCCTCTGCATATTTGCTGGGCAATTGGTTCCTGGTTGGTTGGTTCGTTTCTAGAGTTCTTTGTTACTCATCCTTTCCGATCAATTGGTCTTTAGTTTGGAGCGATAGGAGGTATTGATGAAAGTGTGTACATCAGGCTTTCGGAGATCCTTTTCGTGACACTCTAAGTCTTTGAAGCATATGGAAGTACTGACTTGACATTAGTGTGCAACAGACCTCCAAAAAGATTTCAGATTAATGTAGGTCTGTCTTGCTTTTCCAATCCCGCCTTTATCATCCTCATCTGTACCGTTTGCAGTTGAAAAATACTGCCTAGTTAAGTGAAAGGAGTGGCTTTCTTTAGGCATCTCCTGATGGTGGTGGGAAATCAATTGACGAGGTTGTGAAGTTACACCGATTGACATAGTTAGGACATGTGTTACCCATGCCTAGCCATCACCTTCCTCGACTGACAGACAGTGTTAGCTAACATAGGATCAGTTTGGAAAAGAACTAGTGATAGTGTTGGTCAAACCAAAACATGGCTTCATCAGTCAATGAAATCCACAACAGTTAGTTTCAACCAGCCAGCCACTTACGGAGGTGTAGACTGGTTTCCTAGTTGGCGTCCTCGGGATAGTAAAAACCAATGGCTGGTGCCAATGCATTCCCTATTTGCGATTTATAATATCTAATAAAATTCTATTTTTCCTTCATATTACTATTCTTCTTCCTTGACAATTCCGTTTATTATCTCTCTTTTGAACCTCTCTTTACTCTCTTCTCTTGCTTTGTGTACTACATGGACTGTGGCAACGTGAACTGCTGCACATCTGTAGAAAGTTCTACGTTAAAACCAGTCAGTTAGTCTCCAGTTGGTGGTGATAAGTGCATGTTTTTTTTGTTGGTAAGGTATCTTCATCGCTTCTATCTTCCTTATGTTAACTTGAAGTCCTGTCTTCTCTGCTTCATCTGCCTGCTTTTTGGTTTGGTTTTCTTCTATAGATCTTCGGAGTTTGTGTGACATTAGATGTAAATCATCCGCGAAGTCCCGGTCTTCTAGAGTCTTCTTATCCGCCCAGCGTATTCCTACCTTCTCTGCCATGTAGTTCAGTCCACCACAATCGGGACAATCATCTGTGATAGTAGATAGCCTTGTCTTACTCCTGTCTCCACTTCAATGGCTTTGTGAGTTTTCCGTTGTGAATTACTTGAAATGTAGTATCATCATTATATAGTTGTTGAATGAGGTTGATAAAGATTTGGTCACTCAATAGTGTTGAAGCAGTTTCCCAATTACTTCATAGTTGTGGAAGAGACTTGATTACTGATTCCATTCTCTGTTTGATTATGATGAGTAGCGTTGCAATTAGGTTGGCAAATGATTTGCTCCCCTTGAATCCAGCTTGTTCCAGGCGGAGTTTGGGGTACAGGCCATCGGTGAGTCTGTCCTGGATGATACGGCTTATTTTTTAATCATTACTAACAAGTGGTTTATCTTTTCGTGTACCTGTAGTAATGTAATATGTACATGATTTCATCACTTCTCCGGTATGTCATACAGATATATCACACAGGTATGTCATCAGTCCGCTCCGTCCTCCTTTATGGCTGTGAGACCTGGCCATTGAGAGTAGAGGACACGAAAATGCTGACTAGCTGTCTTTGATCATAGGTGCCTACGTTTTATCTCCCGTGTGAAGTGGTATAGTAGGTTAAGCAATACTGAGGTTAGGCGTCGAGTGCTAGGTAAGGAGGAGAAATCAATAGACGAGGCTGTGCAGTAACATCGACTGAGATGGTTAGGACATGTGTTACGTCTGCCTAGTCATCGCCTTCCTTGACGAGCAATATTAGCTGATATAGGGTCAGGCTGGAAAAGAGCTAGCGATGGTCAAACGAAAACATGGCACCAGTCAATGAAATTCACAGCAGTTAGTCTAGGCCACGTAGGGAGGTGTAGACTTCCTGGTTGGGGTCCTTGGGACGGTAAAAACCAATGGTTGGAAACAATTGGTGACATGACTCAAAATCGTTCTCAATGGCGCAGACGCATCCACTCCTTGTGACTTATGATTTCCAATGAAACCGTTTTGTTCTTCGTTATTACTATTCCTTTGTCTCATACCTCTGTTTACTGTCTCTGTTTTGCATTTCTTTTAACTTTCTTCTCTTCCTTTGTGTGCTTCGTGGAGTGTGGCGACTTGAACTACCGCACATATGTGCAAAGTTCTAGGTCGAAAACAGACAGACAGATGTCATACAGAATTATACAGAATTATTTACCGATTGTTTTAAATAAAAACTATTGTTCCAAGGAATAATATTAAACCAATGTTTATGCCTTTGACGTGATTAAGAATAAAAAAATAATTGTTCTGTGGAGAAAAAGAAGCATTTTTTCGTCCTATGATGTATTTATGGAAATAACTAATATAGAATTATGGACAAAGTTAAATTATCATAGCGAAAACTAAATTGACCTTGAACAACAACCAATCATTATTCAGACGCAAAAAAGTGATATAATCGTTGAAGAATACACTAAAAAATATTGCAAACATGATTTTACACTGTAGAGTTGTAGCTTGTGGGTTGTGAGAATGTGTCCCAAACAACACACAGATGATCTGTAGAGAAATCGTACCATGCACGATATACTCACTCATCTAGGTGACAGTAGGTCATGGTACTTTGAGATCCATTGATATTTCTGAAACTATTCTTCAACCTACTCTTACTCCAATCATAATCCTAACTGCTAACCGTAAATTTATGCATAAACCTAAACCTTAACTTATAAAGCCATAAGCTTACCTAACAGTATAGATTTGAAGAAAAAGTGCTTAGTGAATAAGCAGAACACTATATTTGCCCCCCCCTCCCCCAAGTTCAAAAAGACAGGCATGGTTTGATTCGGAGCTATATTTCATAGCATTCCCTATGTGTTATCGGCTCTTGAAGGTCAACTTTTGAAAGACCTCGACTGTGGCTATAATACTTTAACTTCGCCGAATTATGTGCTACATCGCTGTGTATATATATCTTTCTCTTCCTTAGATGTACCTCAGTTACCACCGTTAGATGACGAAGAAGTAGGATCATCTCATAAATTTCGTCAACCTGTTCCACCAGCTGAGAAACAAGAAGCAGCAGCAGAAGAAGAGGAAGGTGAAAAAGAGTCAACTTATAAAAGACCATCAAGATCACCAAGAGCAAAAGATCCATATGCTTCCATTGACTCTTCTTATCTTATATTACCAGTCCTGGTGACAATTGGTGCATTTTTACCTATTCTCTTTTGTATATGTAAACTTTAGTGATAATCAATACCTCAGTGAATTTGATACCGTCTTGTTTTGTTGTTGTTGTTATTATTATTACTTTAAGTAGAATTATTCTATATTGTGTGTGTTATGTATGATTGTCTAATTCTTTTTTGCATTATTTTTCATAACACTGAAATGTTTTGCCCTATTGTGTATAAATTTCTCTTCTCTCTCTCTACTACATATCGTTAGCGTTATTGCATAATGTGTTTTCATATTCCACAGTGTTGTTTTGTTCTCTGCACATGTGTTATTTGGAAAGTTGTTGTATATTCACTCTTTCCTTTGATTATTATTATTATTATTATTACTATTACAAGTTGAACAACAAATATTGAATTGTTTGTTCAAGTTAATTTGTGTCTCCTGTCGATTGATTTGACCGAAATCCTCGGCCATTTGTTGATATGTGAGCGCCTATTTGCGCGGATGCTCCAACGGTGCTTGCAGATTTGACTAACTCCCATTTCGTCCTGTTTGGTACTCGTCATCTGGATCTATCTCAATTATTGTGTGTATAGTTTAATTAATGTATATGCATGCACACCTTTCAGATAATCTTGTTTTCTAGGAAGGATAAGTAGTTTATGTGCGCTTGTGTATGTGTGTTAGGATGACTACGCAATTGATAGTCATTGAATGGTGGTCTCGGCTATTTGCCTGGCTGTGCATTATTATTTCCTTTAATTCCTAGAGGAACATAGGGCTTCAGTCGTGCTTCTCCATTGCGTTCGGTTCTCTGCTAGAGTCTTCACCTGGCTCCATGTCTGCCCACACCTGTTCATATCCTCTCCACATGACCTCCTCCAAGTCACCCTTGCACTGACGACCAACTCACCGCTTCCCTTTCGGTCGGGTTCCACCCGAACGATGGCTTGTCTAGTGATGTCACTTGATGGTTTCCTCAGAGTATGTCCAATCCATCTCCATTTCTTCCTGCCTATTTGTTTCACAATCGGTTCCTGGTTGGTTCGCTCATTCCCAGAGATCTCTGTTGCTGATTTTTTCTGGCCGGCCATCTGATCTTGAGTATTGAACAAAGGCAGCTGTTAATGAAGGTCTGTAGTTTGTTTGAGATGCTCTTTATGACGCGCAGTGCAAGTCTCTGATCCGTATATTGTGTAGAACTGACTTCATATTGGAGTTGAAAATCCGGGTGTTATTTTTGATGCTGAGTGTTGTTGACCTCCACACAGACTTGAGAGTAGTGAAAGCTTGTCTTGCTCTCCCGATCCTTGCTTTGATATTCTCGTCAGTTCCGCCTGTAGTTGAAACGATGCTTTCCTGGTAGGTAAAAGAGGTTGTTTCTTTCAGGTTCCTTCCATTTATGCTGGCTGATTGTTGTCTGTTGTTGTTGTTGCCTAGGAATCTTCATCACTTTTGTTTTCTCTATGTTCACCTGAAGTCCTATCTTTGATGCTTCTCCTGCCAACTTGTTGCTTTTCACTTGGATATCTTCCAGTTTGTGGGAAATCAGACATATATCATCGGCGAAGTTCAGATCCTCCAAGTTTTTTGTGTGGGTCCATTTTATGCCTGTTTTCTCGCTGCCCGCCGCTGTTCGTAGCATTATCCAGTCTACTGCAATCAGGAAAATCATTGGCGATAGTAGGCAACCAGCTTGTCTTACTCCCGTCTTCACTTGTTCGAAGGATTCCGTAAGTTTCCTGTTGTGGATTACTTGGCAGAAAACTTATGGTTGAAGACTTCACGTGATAGTCCCTCGAATTGGACTGTGGTGGCACAAATGCATTCAAATAATAGTTACCATTTTAATCATTTTATAATATTAATTATAGTAATAATGGTATAATTACCTTGTTATAATATGTGTAAATTTGAATTACTGTTGTATATCTTATACTGTCTTTATATTCTTTGTTTGCCATCTTATTACTTTCTATTCGATGTCCATATGTGACCACTATGAGGCAATACTAGGTCGTGTGTTACTGACATCTTTCCGTACACGCGTAACAAATAATTACTGAACGTAGAATGCAATCAGCTATTTGTAAATTTCAAATAATGGTGAAATCTCACCATGGTTTATTTAGGAAGCTTAATATTGTCATAAATAGCACCTGAAAAGCAAGCAAAGTACAAAACAGTACATACTATCTACCGGTTTATGCAAATTGGAAACTGTCCTCATCAGTTTGTAGTTGCTTTCTAGCTAGATTGAAGTCGTTGAAATGACAGATGACTGTTTCACTTGCTCAAGGTGGAGTTCGTCAGCAACACTGCTGGATTTATACTACTCAGACAGTTTTAATTATTTCTAAACACACAACCTAAATAATTTTTAACTACTCATGACAATCAGTACTATTTGGTGCCTTTTGTATGGTCAAGCGAGGAGTCCTACATTACAGTCAGAATATTTTGGGTTTCGAAAATAAACTTTAGTGATACTTTATCTCGAACTTTATCACTTAGCAAATACCTAATTGCATTCCATGTGTCAGCAGTATGCCTAAGAATTCGGTTCGTATTAACTTGTTCAGTTGCCTAAGCCCAGTCAAACACTGATAATGATCTCGATCAGAAAAAGTGCTAAACCTCCGTGAAGTATCCAGATCACCTCAAACTGAATGGGGAACACTACCAGTAGATGTGAATAGACTCCGGTTACTCATCGACACTGTAGTATGTATCATTTTAACATTAAACCCAATTCAATTTCCTATTCTAGTGCTTGTATTAGGTTAGTTTTATATACCCTTGTAGCAAAGTTGTGTATAAGTTCCTTGTTTAATGATGTAAAGTAATCGAGATGATGAAAATATTTATCAGGTAACCACAAATCATGAAGATATATTGTCGTTTATCGTTTTTATCCGCATCTTGACTAGATCTTTACTACTGAGGGGGGGGGGGGGAGACTTCGGTCGTCCTCTCGAAATGCTCTCATATGGCCACGCGTTCATAGTCTCTGCCACTGCCTTCACATGGCGGGGGTGGGAGGGCGAATACGGACTTCCAGTGCATACAACCGGACTAGTGGACATGTATTTCTATCTAGGAGAGCTAGAAAACCCTGAATACAAACCTTCGGTATACATGGACCGCAGAATCCAAACAGGTCGGATGGCTCATAGACCTGTTTTGGTCACAGGAAACCATGGGAACGCAACTCTTGACGCTGTTCCACTACCTTATGGATCAGGCTTCAAGTGGAAGGGTCGAGCTGGTGGTCCCTTGAGATAACCACCTGTTTCGGTCTAGGAGTCCGGTCATATAGCAGCTCTTTCACAAACTATGAGTTTTTGTGTAGCACATCTCTTGGTCCCCATAATATACCATATTTGTGCTTTCACTGACAGTGATGAGCTTTATGATTGGATTCACCAAAAAACATAATTAATGATCAATTCAGGTTATTCGGCTGATTTGGCTAATTTTATAAAGTAAGCCTGCAAAACATGCAAAGTGTCCAACTTGAAATTTGTTAGCACTTAAAAGAAGTGCAGATCAGCAATTCTAAATTATTTTCTGCTGACTTTTGTTGCGTCTATGTTGTACCCTCTAGTGTCGATCTTCTCAGTGACATGAGAAACCGTTTACTAGTGGCAAATCAACGCCATTGCGAATCGACTGCTTTATAATAAGTAATCTGTGTAACCGTACAGTTCAAGTGTATTGATCGGAACATATCGATTAGGTGTAAAATACTTAGTCTTAGAGTTAGGTGACATGACATTATGGTGCCAGGAAGTCCTTGGAATGTTCTTCGTTCTAATTGACACATTGTCCAGTTGAGTGATAGATTACTTCTTAATACTCAGGACCTATTGATTACATTGACTGTTGGTTTAGTAACCAAAATTTCATATCATTTATTTCTACAGTAGTGACTGTGCTGGCATACTGATAGGTTTGATGTTTTTAGCACTCTATGAGATGAACTTGAATTTATGAGGTGACCCCAGTTTCTCCAATGTAGCAGATTCATCCTTCTGACAAGTGGTAACAAACACAAAACTTCAGTCACGTAGGGTGTCCTATAGATTGATTCCTAATAGCGACAAGTATTTAAGTAAGATTTTCCACTTTCAATGATCTAATTATTTTATCCTTCCTTACTGTTAGTAAGGAGGGTGAAGGTGAAATCTTGCAGAACAATTGGAGACAGACCACAATTCAAGTTCAACAGTCAGAAATTGAAGGCGAAAACTACAAAGGATACCTTCACTGCAGATATCAGAGCAAAGTTGGAGACATTACGTGGCATTAGTGGGGAAATCTGCGTCGAGAACAATGGAACTCTCTGAAGATGATGCTCAAGAAAACGTGTACAACTTCTAGGAAGAAAGAAGAGGTAAGACAAGACAAGGAATGGCTGTCAACGGATACCTGGAAGCTAATTGAGGAGAGGAGGATGGTGAAAGACAAGATGACTACTCAATACAAAGATGGACAACAGAAGGAAAGGCTGAGTTCAATGTACACTGCACTGAATAAGGAAGTGAAGAAGATTGCCAGTAGAGACAAAAGACAATTCTACGACGCACTGGCTGGCAACTGAAGCAGAACAGGCAGGCTGCAGGTGAAAGAGATCTCAGGATATTATATTCAATAACCAGGTCTCTATCCGAGGAGAGATCAACCCAGGTGACTAAAGCGATAAAAGACATTCAAGGAGACCTAATTGCCAAGGAGGAGAAACAAATAAAATAATGGTCTGGTCACTTGAAAGGACTCTTGAATCGATCATCACCTGCAACTCTCCCAGAAATACCATCACTAGTGGGCACAGAACCGCCAGTGGACACTAATCCTCCAACAGAAACAGATGTCTTTAATGCGATCAAGCTACTGAATGGCGTCCGGGAATGCAGAAGGAGCAGACGGAATTCCCCTACTCCGAAACACTGAAAACAAACTCGGAGACTGCGGCAGATATGCTGAAGCCATTATTGCAAGGCGTTTAGAAGAAAGAAAAGGTGCCTACTGAGTGCGAGAGAACCTACCTTGTCAAACTAGTACACAACGACGACTTACGCCTCTGCAATAACTGGCGTGGAATAATGCTCTTCTTCACGCTAAGTAAGATACTAGGTCGAGTCATCCTGGAGAGAATAAAAGATGCTCTGGATGCAGAACTCCGTCTGCTGGAACAAGATGGATTCAGGAAAGGCAGGTCATGTGCTGATCAAATTGCAACTCTACGCATCGTCATCACAGAACAGATCATAGAATAGCAGTCAAATCTCTATTTAAATTTCATCGGCTTCGTAAAGGCCTTCACCAGACAGCGTTGACTGAGAAGTCATTTAGAAACTTGTTCATCCCTGTGGGGTAAAGTACCCAAATCCTTATCAACATCATTCAACGACTAGCTATATGACAATGCCACAAGTCAGGTGGTCCACTACGTAAAACTCAGTGAA